ACTGTGTAGTTCATTTTTATTTGTATTCTTAACAAATACGGCATAAGAATCATTTCATAGCCATAACAGTCCGCTATGCTGTGAGGGAGAAAATTGCCATTTGTAAATTGGATCTGGAAGTTTTTCATTCACCGCCCTGTGAAAATAATGAACTATACTCCTCTAGGCTACAGTTAAAGTATAAAATATAGTATTTCACCAAGAGATAAACACAGTGGCATCTGTGAAATACACTGCAATTTGTTGCAATAGCCATGCAACACTCACACTACTTTGGTGAAGAGTGTGTCAAGGGTTTTGGTCGAATCGACACCTTTTGGACACACAAAAAAAAACATCATAAATATTGCATTGGATGACATTAGGTTGTACTGGTGCTTCTGTTGTTCTGCCAGTGCTGTGTTAGTGAAGGGGTAATGAACATCTGATGGATACAACATCACATGCGTCTCTTGTGATTTTATTTCAGGTGAAAGACCCTTCAGATGCAGTCAGTGCAACATGAGTTTCATTCAGAAGTACCTTCTCCAGCGACACGAGAAAATCCACAGTGGTGAGTGATTAATGGCAGCTATTCATACCACCCCCAGGGCCTGATGCAACCCGTGAGTCATTGTGTGCTTTCGGTGCCGCAGAATATAACTAACCTTGAGTGGTGTTGTTTTTTGTGTGTGACAGGAGAGAAGCCATTCAGCTGTGACCAGTGTAACATGCGATTCATTCAGAAATACCACATGGAGAGGCACAAGAGGACGCACAGCGGAGAAAAGCCGTACAGATGTGAGACCTGCCAACAGGTTTGTGAACCGTAAATCCTCCTCTGTGCGGGGGATTACTTGTACTGTACGAGGGGTGATCGAAAAATTTCAAGATTGCGCTTGTATGCTTCAAAAACCTGTTTTAAATTTGGCTGCCTTCCCTATTGATTTGGTCTTGCTGTGCAGTGACACACTGCTTCCTGTGCTCCTGCAACACTTGTGATGCTCCACTGGTGTGCTGTTACGTAAACATCTGCAGTGAGTGCTGAACCTTCTAAACCTTTTCAAAATGGCAGTCCTTCAACTTGATTTTAATTTTGGAGAAGACAAATAAGTCACAAGGAGCCACGTCTAGTGATCAGAGAGGATGACGAGCACAATTGTGTTATTGTTGCCAACAAAAAAAAGCTGTGCATATTCACTGGTGCACATTGCAGCACAGTTTAGATTGATTGTGCTGTATATTTGACCTTAGACACCTCAGCAAGTAACAGCAGAACTCTGGCTTGAGAGTCCAACTCTAGGTTATAAATTCACATCCACATTAAAGAAGAAAACAATGAGAGTGCTCCTATGTTCCTGACCTGATGCACCTCTTCTGGTTTTAGAAACTGTAAGCTTTTCCATTGTGAAAACTGTCATTTTATTCTCTTGATGGTAGCCGCAGACCCACCTCTTGTCATCAGTGAGAGTCGTCCACATGAGGGCTGAATCATTCTGCTTGCTGTCATGTCATTTTATGTTTCCCTCTCTGCTTCACTTTGCAGTAGATGGAGAAATTGCATATGCGCACCTTCTAGGGGTCATAAAACGTGTAACACAAGTCCTGATGTTTATGGCACAATGTGGCACAGACTTCTGACAGTTATTACACAGACCTGTTGCATGCGCATGACTGTGACACGACCTGTGCTTGCACACCACGAACAGTCTCACAACTTTTTGATCACTCTTCACATTCATCCCTTTAAAATACTTCATCAATAACATTAAAGACAACATCTTGTGTTTGTGCCCTTCAGTATTTTTCTAGAACAGACCGACTGCTTAAGCACAAGCGAACCTGTGGAGAAGCCATAAAGAAGGGCCTGGATCCAGGGATGATGGACCTGGGTTGCGTAGACATGGGACACGGCAGCTATGGAATCACTCAGGGAAATGCTGGGAATACTGGTAGAAAGAAGGGGAGGTCCAAAAATTCAGGAGAGGGAGGAGAGCGCAAGAAAAAGAAGGGAGATGGAGGAGGGGTGAGGGTGCCACACCTTCATGGCGCTGTATCCGGAGGCTACAGCATCCATGAATACTCTGTGGAGAATCAAACGGTGTCTTCCTCTACTGAGCCGGGTCCCAGCATGCAGCACGGCCACCACGGTCGAGCTCCAAAGATGGCGTTCAAGAAGGCCAATCGTAAGAGCCTGGATAAAGCGGGTCTAGAGCAGGACAAAGCAGGCTCTTTGGAGCAGGGCAGGGGCATGGACTGCCTTGGCCTCATGCAGGGTAATGGGGCTAAAGTCGGGCCCACCAGCAGCAACTACGACGACGCCATGCAATTTCTGAAGAAGAGACGCTACCTTCATGCAGCAAACAATGCAAACGCCTCAGGGCCTGCAGTGGCTGGAGGAACCAGCAGCGAGTATGACGTCAGCGTCCACTTGTCCTCGCAACCGTCTGTCATCCAGGGCGTTGTCTCCAGCGTGATGGACAGCGACGCTCCTCTGAGTCTCGACAAGTCAGGGATCCCCGACGAGGTGCTGCAGAGCCTCCTCGACCACTACACCCAGAAACCCGACGGCTCCCACCACAGCGTTCACTTCGACCTCAGCGACCAGCACGTGGAGCTGACCCCAGCCACGGCCGACGGTCACGACCTTGGACACAACGTCGACGCCTCCAGCCCCTCAGGAGACAAGACTGTAATGATGCACGAGTACTCCCGCTTCCTGCTGCAGGCGTTGGAGCGCACCAGCCACAGTGCCAGCTTCCCCCTGGGTCCCGGGCCTCCAGCCTCGGGGCCTTTTACCAGTTCCCTCCCAGGAAACCCCCTGTACGCCGACAAGGACATCTACACTACGTCCCCACTGGAGTGTGGGTTCGGCCAGTCGGTGGCCTCGCCTTCGCTGCCCTCCTCTGTGCCAAAGTCTCACTTTGCGATGCTGACGGGCTCTTCACCACAGCACAGCTTCCATCTGAGCAGCCTGGAGGCGTCCACACACCAGCAGCTCACCCCTTCTCAGGAGCTCACCGACCAGATGGAGAAGCAACACTCCTCCACTCCCCCTTCATCCTACCAGATCAGCCCATCTGACCTGAGCAGCCAGAAGGACCAGCAGCCGGTCAAAAACGGCCAGGCGGTCTACCCTCTGGCCCCCTCGCAGGATCTGGCCTCTCTGGACCCCTCTAAGCCTTCCTACCAGATTGAAAACTTTGCCCAGGCCTTTGGCTCCCAGTTCAAGTCAGACGGCCGTGGCTTGTCTTATGGCACTGACTCTAGCGGGGAGGTGGATCACAGGATACGGACGCCTGTGTCTGAATTCTCAGGGTATAGTAGTTTGTTATCTGATGTCAATGAGCCAGTAAGTACAGGTTCCAAAACTCCAACAAGCCAAAGCTACAGATGAGAGCCTGAGAGGGAGAGAACACTCTGTCGTTAAAGTTCCTATTTTAATTTTTTTAGTGCTCCTATTTTATTATTATTATTATTATTGTTATTATTATTATTTTTTTAAGTGACATCTATATTTTAATTATACTGATGCTCTGTCTTTGTGCCCACTCCTCTTCCCGCAATGAGCCTGCAAGGCTTCCCGCAAATGCAATTTTTTTTTTTTTTTTTTTTTAAGTATCTGTTATTTTTAAGTTAAATATGTATTTTACTGTTTATTCTTGTCATACTAGTGACATTAGGTCTGGTCATTAATCTTAAACCGAAAGTACGTTGCGTAGAGTAGTGCCGGACATGTTTCTTTTTCAATGAGCTGAAGTGTTTGAGCAATCAACTTCTTTACAACTGTAAAATAATAATAGAAATAACCGCAATGGCAGGGAATAGCCCAGGATTGAAATAGCAAAAAAAAAAAAAGAAGAAAAAAAAAAGAAACGAAAAAAATAACGTTATTGTCTGTTACAAGGTTAAAAGTATTACTCAGGAATAAGTGGAAAAGGAGACGCTTACGAGGTGCGGTGAGCACTCTTCAGAAGTGTAAGTTTGCGACTTCAAAGAGGATTTTTTTTTTCGTATGTTTTATTACTCGTTGAATGAGTGTGACATAAACAGACTGCTGCCAGCTCACTTGAACACTGAAAACACTTTCTACTTGGCTATATAGAGATTATGGTACTTTCATGTCAATGTGAACTCATGTTTTCTTCAATAAGGGCCATATATATATATCTATATATATTTATAAGAATATATATTGTGTAAAATAACAGTTTTAATCATTCTGGGGATCTGCCAGTTGAAGTCGAGGAAGAACGAGGGCCGGTTCAGGGGTTAAATGTTGTCCTTGGTATATTTTTGGAGAACAAAAGTGATGTTAGGGCTTTTCTTGGGCCAATAGAGGTTGCTGTTGGACAGCGATAGAATGGCCTTCCCCTTTGCCTGTCCTCCTCTTCTTCCTCTTATTTCTTTAAAAGAATCCAATTAGCACTTTGAGCCGCTTTCTTACTTACATTGAGTAAAAGTACCCCGTCGGATCGAGGGAGCTCAAGCATCAGGAATGGACTGGCTTTTTTTGACAGACGTGTCGCTGTTCGGGCATATGCAGATGGGCTTTCAGGGGTTGTGGGACGGGAGTTCCCCTTTGTTTGGGTAGCATGGTTTATATGGGACGAAGGGAGGGGAGGGTTGATATGTGAAAAGTGGGATTTTTCATTAACGGTTTCTCTTTCTCCTTACTTTTAGGGAGGGTTTAGCTCGGGAGGGAGGGCGGGCTTTTAAAAGATATTTAATCGGGATAATGTAAATGTAATTCAAACCCCTAGTTTTAGTTTGACTTGTTACCCAACTTAGCAGCTTTGCTTTCTTCTTGACTTTGATGACAAAATGTGTTAGTGATCAAGTATTTCTTCAGCTGTTACTGAGGCAGTCACATGCAGTTTGAGCGAGGAGGGAAAAAAAAAAGTTGGCTGACCAGAAAATGTGTATCCATTTTTTTTTTTTTTTAGATCTTTTCGCGTGTGCTGGCAGTACTTGTCCCGTTAGAAATTGGGTGCCTATTCCTCAGAAGTACAGGTGCAAGAATAATGTCTAGTAGATGTTAGATGTAATTTTTTTTGATGATTTTGAATTTTTTTGTTGTTTTGTTTTTGTAAAAACAACATGAATTGCGCTGTCTTCCATAGCAACAACTGGCCTTGAGTGCTGGAAACAATATCACTCTGCTGAATGAGTCTCTGAACCCCTTTACGCCCCGATGGCCTGTTGTTTTAAGCAATCATTGAACATGGCAGAGTGAATGCAATGCTGTAATATCAAAAAATAATGCCATGTTGAGGCGTTAAAGCAAGAATTAGCCTCGCATATACCTCATATCACAGTAAACCAGGGACAAAAAAGAGTGAAGGTTTGATGTGTGTAGCAGAAATGCTGTCGTATGTGTAAAAATGTTTCTGTGCGACTATTTTTAAACGTTTGTGTACGTGACATTTATGTGACCCAGTAAGACGCCGTCGCTTAAGGGTTTTCTGTAAATGTCTCATGCCAACCAGTGTTCGGTCTCTTCGGTTGAACCTCCTCTTTCCTCCAGATATTATTTTTGCCATATTGTTTTCAGTATTGTTTACAAGAAAAAAAGAAATGTACAAAACACTACATCTTACTTACCCCTGTATAAAATTTATTTTACTATCTTTCCCCCTTTTTTATCACCACCAAATTTTTGTAGCTGATGATGTCTTCCTTTTTTTTTTTTTTTTGTTCTTTCAGGTTCTTGTGACTTATTTCACGAGGCTGTACTTGTCCAATGAATGAAAAATTGATTGATTAGGGAGAAAACAATAAAAAAACTGTTACCAGGAAAAAAATGCTTTGCCTCCACTGGTTCTTATCAGGGGTGTATAAGTGTCCCATATTGTGCCCCTTTATTAGCAAATTCTTGAAAGTCTCACATTCCCCCAACTGTGTATTTACATTTTTCAGGTCCAAATACTGTGATGATGGTTCATTTCACCATGACTATTAACCCAGGTTTTCTTAACGGTCTGTTTCAGTGTCTGGAGCTTTTTGTTGCTTGCTCTCATTCAGGAAGAAGACTCCCTCTGCATCTCTGATTGACAGTGCAGAGGAAAACAGCTGGATGTGAGACCAGGACTTTCTCTCTTTTCTCTCATTTTACATGGAAATATCTGAATTCACAGCACAGCGGTTTTCATCCAAGTGTGTGTGGTGAGTTTGTCAGACGACGTTGCGCTTGTTGAACCAGCAGTAGTTTTTAGCAGTAAAATCAGCAGTGTTGCAGAGCTGCAGCTTGGTAAATGGCTCTGAAGTGATTGCTGATTACCATGTGGTGGTATTGGGTTGAATTCTGTTGTGACAACAGAAAGAGAAAAATATGTAAATGAGAACTGTTTGATTAGGATTTCAGCTGTATTTAAATGCAATTTATGCAAGCACAGAGCAAGAGAGAAGCTCACAGATTAAAACAACAGTTGGTTTCAAATCTGTCTTCTATCATCAAAGATAATTTATTAGCCACACGACGTTCTAAGATTTAGGATTTCTCCAATGTTGTCAAGACATTGCCATCAAAGTAATCCACTTGGTGTTCAGTTCCTCAGATGCTGGGAGTGCATGAAGGCTCTTGTGTTCACTCTTGCAGCCAACGGCAGAACATTTGGGGAGTTTTGCTTGTGGCTGAGACAATTCAGAGTTAGCAGAAGCAGCTATAGAAAGTAAAACAAAACAAACCCGGTGGACCGAGAAGCAGCTGCTCATCCTGAATGGTTCACGTGGAAGCAGTGAGGGGGCAGGATTATGCAAAGTTTGAACTTGATGAGGGCTGCACGGTGGCTCGGAGCTAGATGATCCCTGGTTTGTGTCCCGGTTACACACCCGGGATCTTTCTGTGAGGAGTTTACATGTTCTCTCAGTGCAGCGTGGGTTCTGTCCGGGTTCTCCCTCTTCCTCCCACAGTCCAAAAACATGTTGAGATTAACTGGTGATTGTCCGTAGGTGTGAATGTGAGTGTGCTTGGTTGTTTGTCTCTAAGTGTAGCCCTGTGATAGACTGGTGACCTGTCCAGGGTGTCCCCTGCCTTTGCCCTAAGTCAGCTGGGATAGACTCCAGCCCCCCACGACCCTAGTGAGGATTAAGCGATGTATAGATAATGGATGAACTAGATGACTATTGTTTCCTCACTTAGAACACAAAAGCTCAGTTACATTCTTTCTGGCTTGTAAAGCTGGGAGACCATCTAGTTGTGAGAGGGCTTGAGGAATGGAAGAAGGAAATGTCTTTATATTCAATGTTTATTTTAAACCTCTGTGTTTATAACAAACACAAAACTATAAAAAAAAATGCATTTTCACCATATGGGAGCTTCTACACATTCGTATGTAGCATTGAAGAGACCCACTGAAGCTTACGGTAGCTGTACTCTTTTCCACCACTTGATGGTGGTGATGTTCTTCTAAAATGAAGTCTCTCAGATGACGCAGTGGCCATCTATTCTCTTAGGCAATTTATTGGCTTTGTTAAAATATATTGATCATATGTTTGAGGTTTTATTCAGGATATTAGGACCTTGAGGTTCATCTGACCTTAAATTTCTGATGTGTTTTTAATGCCGGCCTGCTTTACAGATTGGTTTGCTGTTTAACTGTGTGACAAAGATTTTTGAGATTATATGACATGCTTGGCTCATACAGATAAGCAATACAACATCTTGCTTAAGGCAGTTTGAGGTTCCTGTCTGTGGTCAGGCTTTTCAACTTCATTTAGAACAGCAAATTAACAGATTAAACGGGCAGAACACGCCCATGTGACTGTGCGTCCATTGTGCATGACTACAGTGACATATTGACTCATTCAGCGGCACATCCAGGCATTAAGAGGAATGTCTTCAGCCTTTCTTCTCTCCCCCTTTTTTTTTTTTTTTTAAAAGAGAGCGCTTAATGAACTGCATGGTTCACAGTCACTCCTATAAAAATCACATCTCACCTCGTAAAAGTCTGACCTGAGAGCTGGAGTTTCAGGATGCAGCACAAATACTGGCAGGAGCTTTGTCTCCAAGTAGTTTTTTTTCCCCTCGTTTGTTAAATACATTTTTATTTATTTGGCAGTAGGACAGTAAAAAAAAAATCCCAATTCTTGGCTTTAAAAGCAGATATAATTGTTTCTTTTTCAGTTGGTTATTTGGTTAAAGTTGAACTAATGGAAAATTCAAACAAAGAAAACTTGTGACAGATATGTGCTGTGGTCCATTTAATATAGATCTTTCACTGTTGGAGCTTCTAGGGAAAACCCTAATTTGAAATGCAAATACTTCCTCTTAAACGTTTCAAACCTTCACACACCATGTTTGTCATATTCATCTACTCCCTAACAGCCTTTTTCCCTAACCCAGCATGAAAATTTCGAAAAAAAATAAATAAAAAATAGGCAAAAGCATGATATAGTTTCAGCCACAAATAGTCAAACGATGTCAAATTGGATCTGAACAAATCGAGGTAAACAAATAGCATGTAAATTGTGATATTTTCCAGGTCTTTATGACTGAGTAATTAACTGTAACTTCACAGGTCATGGATCATTTCATTTTCAGTGTCTGTTCAGGGAAATAAACTGCTTCCTGTATTAAAAAACAGAACTAGACTCTTCCTGTCAACACACGA